GACACCCCACCAGGCCAGGCCTGCGGAGATCCCTCAGCAGAAGAGGTGGAGGCCTTGCATCTGGGCCAGCCAGCCGGCCTGGAGGGGAGGTAGAGGTCAGCCCTCCATTTCCAGTGCCAGAAAGAAACACGCAGCATAGGCAGGCTGTAGGGTCCTGGGGTGAAAGCGAGAAAGCCCCCTTCTCCTTCTCCGTGGATGGCTCTCCAGGAAGGCTGGAGGATCAGGCTCACCCCAAGGCCCTCCGAACTGGGCCTTAGGTTCCCTGTTGAAAACGGGTGGCACTAAAAGCCACCCCCTGGCTGCAGGGCTGGCAGTGAGCATTCATCGTGCAGTTAGTGATGGTGACCTTGGTGGGGATAGAAGAGTAGATGACCTGAGGGCATCCTTCAGTGTCTCCACAGTGTGTGATTCCTAAGGGTGTTTCCCCTCTTTGAAAACTCTCAGGCTGAGCTCTAAGGCGTAGTGGGCACCCCCTCAAACCCTTAGCCCTCTTGGACCAGAATGCGCCTGGAGTCCCTTTGGAGCCCAGACCCCTCAGCCTCTCCTCCCAGGGGCAGAGGGCCCAGGCAGCTCACAGCCAGGTCTCTGCTAGCAACATCTGCTGCTGACTGCCCCTGACCACTGATGGGGCCTCACAAAACCTGCCTGAGGGGTCAGGTTTGCCCCAGGGACTCTAGGTGTCAGGCAGGTGGGCATGGGTGTGGCAGCTGTGGGCTCCAGTGCCCGCCCTCCTGGCAGGACCAGGACTTACCAGTTCCTTTGCCTCCCTCATCACTGGCCCCAAGCCTCGCCTGGGCTCCCATGAGGGGGAAGCGGCTTTCCAGGGAGGCAGGGGCCCTGGGAAGCCTGGAAGCTGGGTAATCTATGCTAATTCATGCACCCAGCCTTGAGACGCTTGGGAAGGTTTGTGCAGCCCCCACTCCGAGGCTCCTACACGGTGTCAGGCATGGGGGGGGGGATTAATTAGGAAAGTAGGAGAGTAACTCCTTAACCTGACTGGCGGGTGGAAGGCAGCCAGGGCCCAGGACACTCTGGCCTCTGGTCCTTGGACGGCGCGGCTGCGTTCACATTACTGGTGGCTTAGCCTCACGGAATCCAGCCCCTCTTTGTTCCTTAGCTGCCCTAGAAAGGTGAGCGCTTGTCCAGGCAGCATGTAGCGGGAAAGGGGGATTTCTGAGGCTCCTGATGGAGCAAGGAGCTCCCCCTCCCCACATCGCAAGCCCATGGTTGGGCTCTGTAGACTCAGGAATCTACACTCTGCAGGCAGCCAGACTAGCAGGCGCATAATGAAGGTTCTCATCTTGGATCTGGCACTTACCTACCGACTGACCCAGTGATCTGGGGCAACATGGCAACCTCTCTGGACCTCCACTTTGTCATCTGTAAAAATATAGCCAGGGGGCCTTCGAGGCGGTGGAGGGTAGGACTCAGGCCTGTTTGGGGGAGTGATAGACCCCTCTACTTTCTAGTGGTAATTACATGTCTGCAGTCGTTTTTTCAAAACTCATAGAACTAACTGTACCCCACAAAGGGTGACTTTTACCCGATGGAAGTTACACCTTATTACCCTGCCCCCACCCAAAAAAGTCAGGGCCTTGGGGGTGAACTTGGGCCAGTGGCCTAACCTTTCTGTGCCTCTGTGACCTCTCCTGTGAAATGGGAATAAAGAATAGCATCTTGCCCTCAGGGCTGTCCAGTGAGATAAGCCCCGCAGAGTGTGCCAGGCCGTGTCTA